TATATCAAAACACATTTCTTAGGCTGTAGGATTACATACATCTCATTTAGCACACATATAGTTTAGTGGCTCAACAGTTCATCATAGTTCTAGAGAAATAATATGCTGAATCCAGTGGTGGGATTCAGCCATTTTGCACCACTTTGAGAGAACCGGTTGTTAATTTTCTGAGCAGTTTGGTGAACTGGTTGTTGGAAGAAATCATTAGGACAGAGAACCAGCTGTTAAATTATTTGAATCCCACCACCGGCTGAATCCTTAGTACTACATACATATTGAATTGAATAGTCTATACGGCATTCCTTTCATGGCCATCAAAGCTTACTGTGCCTAGAAAGCTCTATTGTTTTTATTAATAGAACTCTGATCCTTCTGGAATGTGGATCGAGAAAACATGTTGTACTGTTTTCATTTTCCAAGCAACTGTTTTTGAGTGACATTATCAGTTGCAATTATTAAATGGTATACTATGAAAACATCTGAATGAATCCAAGTTCTTCAGATTACATATCTAAAAATATGGACTGCTACATATTTCTAAGCTGAAGGGTCAGATAATTGGGAATGATCATAAAAGGGAAAAATGGTAGACAGCAAACCTGTTTCTTTATCAGAACACACACAAAAATCTAGATTTAATCAAGACTGTTAAGTTTCCAGTTTAAAAAAAAATAAAGAAAAGATTTTCCCTACATATCAAATTCAACAATTAGTCTGAATTTCCAAGCCTTTTCTGGCATATCTCCTCTGTAATTTATTCTCTGGATATGGAATTGTTGGGAAAAGCTTGAGCAGAGGTTGTTTTTCCTTCCTGCCTATGTTCCAAATCAATACATGAACAAAAAAAAACTAAAAAAAAAAGGGGGGGGGACAGAAAAAAATAGCACGAGAGCAATGTTGGAGGAGAATAAAGCTTGGGAATATAGAAGTACATGTGTAATCTTAAAAAATATATAACACTGTAAACTTCCATATGTCTAGAAAGATTAATAGCATACAATTTATAGAAATAATTGTAAATTATTCTTACAAAACATGTGAGGGATCATAGAAGGAATTCCATACATATCGTACGAGGAACTCCATAAATCCACTTTTTCTTCTCAAGAAAACACAGTTTATATGTGTTTGTATGTGCACATTGAGTTTTGAGTTTTCATTTGTATTCACTATTCTTTGATACTTGTTAATATACATTATTGTTTAGAACTTGTGATATTATCAATATATTTATGAATTTGTGACCAATTCATTTGTATGATGTATGTATTTGCAAAAGATTTTCCACCAATAATCAAATTGGGAAGGCTGCTCTTCACTTTTAGTTTTGATATTATTATTAAGCCACTTCTTTTACTAGCTAACATAGTAAAAATGTGCATGCCTTAAATTTTAGATTACATAAGTTCTGTTTGAACTGTATGGTGTTACATCTGCCAATTTTTCAACATAATAAGCAGAGCATCAGAGAATTAACCTACCATTTTTGTAACCCCAATTCCTATGCAGCAGGAATAGAAGATAGGCTTATCTCCAAGGAATCTACTTTAGCTTTATCCCACCCTTTTAGTAGATCACTCTAGGACCCATACAATATTTTCCTACCATCACAAAAATCTTCAGATATGAAGTGAATTATGTTCACTTCCATAATTAGTCAAAATAATACAACTTTAGGGCCTTCCTAAAGATCACCAAAAATTCTTAGACCTCTTACTGCAGCAGTCCCCAACCTTTTTATCACCAGGACCAGTTTTGTGAAAGACATTTTTTTCCATGGACTGGTGGAGATGGTTTTGGTTTTGCTTGCTTGCCCACGGCTCACTTCCAGATGTGTGCCCTGATTCCTAACAGGCCAAGGACCAGGACCAGTCCATGGCGCAGAGGTTGGGTACCCATCTTACAATATTTTGGTTGAGTACTCACAGAAGTTCAAACAGCAACTATAAGCTGCTCTCCCCCAAAGTACCCAAAACTCTTAATGAGTGGTAATGATCATGTAAAACAAGGTACTCTCTGGGGTAATTTGGATGGAAGCTTCTAAGGGCTTTCAAGATAATTATTTATATTATGCCTCAAAGCAAACTGGCAACCAGTCTAATCATTTTAATAATGGAATAATCTCTCTTGGTCAATCTAGAATCAACTAGTTCATTTATCTAGTTTATAATAAACTAGAATTATTATCAAACTCATTGTAAGAATTGTTGCAAGACCTACATGATACTTATCTCAGCTGAACTTAATAGTAATATACTTTTTAAAGAATTCACACTATAGAGTGGCATTGAATAAGAGGAGTGACGGCGGATAAGCTTTATTTTGCTTGTATGCACATTTTTAGCAGATGAGCACATCACATTTAAGTGGTATCATAAGGCATTCAGCTGTTTTTAAAATGGAAGCGTAGGGGAGGGAATCACTTGAGATACCAATTAGGCAATTAATACATTTAAATTCCTTACATTTAATTGATATAATTGCACTTAGTATATAGGGCTACCAGATCTGCGCCGCAAAACTTCAAATGGCCACTAGATGGCAATAAACAGTTTTTTAATCTGCATATTTGCCACCTAATTCTGGTACTCCTATTAATCGATTGGAGGAAAAACCAGGATCAAAAATCGGAGTTGAACGGAGCCTCAGAGGCCCTCTAATCCTACATACTACTCAGTACAGATCCCCTATGCAGTTCAGACAGTCATCACCCTCTTTTCAAAGTTGTCCAGTTATGAGGAACACAGCACCATGACACAACTTATTTGATTGGTTAACAGTACTTAACATTAGAAAGCTCTCTAATATCTAACATGAATTTATTTCCCTTTAGTTCCAACATATTCCTCTCAATCTTTTGCAGGCTAAACATATCAAATTCCTCAAGCCGCTCTTCATGTTACTTTGTGCCAGCTTCCTCAGCAGACATGCTTACAGTCATCTTCCTTTTGTCAACCAAAGATTAGCAGATCCCTTGTTTCTTCTTTTACTTTCTGACAAATGAAGTTGTCAGTAAGGCAAGACAGGAATTGTTGGGCCTCTGTGTCTTCACAGAGTTAGATTTCCAGCTGGAATTTGGAAATCTTTCATTGTTGTGATTATATGGACCTTCTTTGAAAGTTGGGTCATCTAATAGAGAAAGGCAATCTTCGGTTTGCCCAATCATATAATAAACTTACACAACAATTTCACTCTTGTTTCTCTAGGAATATCTAGATGGAATCTGATACGAGTTTTATTCTGTTCATCCATTTGATCCAGTTCAAATCTTTTGGGAAACCTGAATCAACTTGATTCACAGCTTCAGTTTGATAATTCAGCATGACATTCTGTTTTGCTTCAGAAATAATATTTAAATCAGACATTAAATTTAAACAGTTTCAAATTGAATCAGAATTTTCCATAGCCTTATATATTTCCTGGCTCGTAAAAATATTTTTGCATGCTATGGAAAAATTTGTATTTTTAAAGGTGAAGTGTTGATTATAAAACAGGCATATTATAGATATATTCTTGCAACATTGAGGACCAATTGTGCATCTATTGTGTATAAAACATTATTTCAAGAATTAAAAAAGGATTCATTCTCCTCTATTATGTATTATTAATGGGAGACACAAAGCTTCAGAGCAACCATGAGTAGAATCTGGGATGTGTGATAGGAAATGTTTCCCCGAATTGATATTTCTCTTAGGAATCTTTTCATCAAGTTTAAACAGTCATACATTCACGATATTCTACCAAAATAATATGTTCTCAACATTTCAGCAATTGCCCACCTCATTTAATACTGTTAATTATTGCTGTATTTCGTATTATTTCTTGCACTGTGTTATTATATAGCAACATATACATTTTAGGATTATTCCTAAAGAGACAGGCTTTTAAAAATGTTACTGTATTTAGAAATGGTCATTTTTAATTTCTTGTTTTTGGGCACTGCCATGAATTGAAATGAGAAGGATGTTTTCCAGTTCCCAGAAAACACTTGTTCATAAGAACCTGCAAAAAGTTTCATTTGCACCTTGAAGGCCAACATATGCAATAGAGGGTCATTGTCACACACAATTAAATAATATCCTATATTGTATACTCCTGTTACATATAAATTATTCTATTTGTAAATTTATGTTATGGATTGCTGAGTATTTTTTATAAATTATAATATTGCTACTTTAACCATTATGCTACATACTTGCCAGATCTTTTTCAATAATATTATATGTAAGTGTTGAATTTAGAATAGCCAATTATTTCATTCCAATAATTTGCCATATAGTTTTATATTTTAAAGGTGAATTTTTGACAGTCTCTTCTCCCATAATTGTATGTAGCTACTTGGATGGGAGACTACTAGGAAATCTCAAGGCTATAAGTTGCATTCTAGACTATACATCTTGTGAAAAAATGCCAGGGCTTTCTTATTATTACCAAATAAACTATCTGCACGAGTCTTTGAACTGAGGAGTTAAACTTACTATATAAACCAATTGAAATATACATTTATTTTTGTCTGTTGTGTTAAAATTATCTTATTTAAAAACACAACAGAAATCATAAATATTTTAAAAGAAAGACCTGGTGTTTTTTTTTCAAGTTGTACACTTACTAATTACTAATAATTCTGAAAAAAAATTACAGTATTGCTTGCTATATATATAAATCAGCTTTGAGGTGGATATTAACTGAAAAGAGGATTACATTTTGGGAATTTTATCAATGCCAATTATTAGTATATGTTACAGAAAATTAATATATTTTTACAATATACAAATAGAAATATTAGACTCCATCAGTTTTATTTAACTTCTTTCCTATTAAATGGTCTGCTATACATGACAGGACCAGCACGTTGCAATAAGACAACTGATACTTCTGAGTGTAACAACAAATGTATAAATGCAGATAACAAAAAGCGATAGTATGGAGAACAAATGCTTAACAAGGTATTTTTATAAACTTGGCAGATCAGTAACAGCAAATAATAGAAAGAAGCATACCTTGTCCTTGAGGAGTTCCATAAAACTCAGCAGCTATTCTTGCTGCCTCTTTACGATTCCCTTTTACAATATAGAAATGACTGAGTATTGCGAGGCTGATTTTTACAAAAAGTTTAAAGCAGAAAAGTGAAAGTATTGTAAAGTAGACATTGGATAGTTGTTGGGCAAAAGGCCGATTTTCCTCTACAACAGTCATTGCTGCACAAGAGTCTTTGTCAGTGTTTAGAAACAGCTCTGAAATACGTTGCTAAGATCATATGGCTCCAGCCAGACACTCCTAGGGAACAGCTGGTCCTGAGGAAAGAAAATATCAGCTGGTCATGATGTGTGCAGCTCAAAATATGAGGATTATTTATACTGTAAATAGCATTGAGTTCACTAACACTCCCACTAGCTTGATGGTATTTAACTGAAGAATACATACAAACAGCTTCAAGAAATCAGTTGTAAGGGGCTAGTTTAAAAGGATCGATAAGTACTACATCAGGTTTTGTACTGTTGCAAAAAAGTCAGAAGGACTGTCAGAAGGACAGAAGGAGCTTAAGTCAGAAGGAAGAGCAGCCAAAATGTACCATTCTCAGTCACACTTCAGCTGGCATTAAATTCTCTTTCTCAAGATATTTTAGCTCCTGTTGTTCTTTTTAAGTATTCTGTATCCATGAGAACTTTTGCTTCATCAACTAGCTATACCCATTTGAATAGCATAAAGCATATTAAAATGCCCCATTATGAACTGTCACTGTTTTTTTAATCTTTGGCCAAGATGAGAATGTTCTCAATTAAATTTATTCATACAGATACAAGTATCCCTACTCTGATGCAGGATTGTCTATTCTTATATTGCTGTGTATAGTCATGGTTTTTCTCCATTGTCTTAATTTTACTCACTAGAATGTTGGACAAGATTCCTTTAATACCCTCAAAGGATGGTATGGCTGTTAATACGAAATGGATTTTTTTGGCTGTATTCTATTACTTATTTTATTATAATTTTTTAAATGCATATGGGACTCTTCAAAATGAAATTTTCCTTGCAACTTAAGCTGCTAAAAACTCCAATAAAAAAAAGTTAAAACCGTAAAAGATTAGGGAAAAATTAACTGAAATTAATGACAAAAGATGTAGTTAGCAGCCGCAGAACCAACAACAAAGCTATTGTGGTGGATATCTCCTGCCTTTGGGACTGAATATCAACAGTAAATGAATCAGCAGTCAAGAAATATGCAGCAGACTAGCCCTTAGTATAATAGCAATGAAAACAGGGATGGGGTGGTTCGGACCGGTTTGGGTAAGCCTCTAGGGAAAACTTTTAAGTGGTTTGTAGAACTGGTAGGGAAAATTTTGACTAGTGCTGCCCCCCTGCCCCCCTCACCTGTCCCCCTTCATCTATCCTATATTCTGCTGTTTATTAGCTCAGCTGATTCGAGTGGCAGAGTGGATTGCCGTGACTCAGCTGAGCTAAAAAACAGCTGTAGTCGGACTTAGACTCATTTGCATGCATCTGAATTGTGCGTTTAGTGGGCCTCAGCAGAGGTAAGTACCGTGTTTCTCATATAATAAGGCTGGGTCTTTTTTTTTTTTTTGAGCCCCGAAAAAATGGCTAGGCCATCTTTTTGGGGGTGACTTAATCCCCCCCCCCTTGCATCTTCGGGCGGGCGGCGACGGCTTGTATGTTGACCTCGACGTTGGTGGGGCACTTCGTATCGGGGTCAATGCAGGCAGCACCATATCCGGGTGTGTAACAAAAATACTTCCTAACAGCAAGGCCCCCCACCATTCCCCCCCATTTTGCATGTTTTAATATAGGCCTTAATTTGGGGGGAGGGGCTTAATTTCATTTCATGCCTATAAAACATGCTGGAACTTCCTATTGGGGGGAAGCCATATTGTTGGGTAGAAACAGGGTAGAAATACCTGTTTGTCGGTCTTAGACTCACTTGGTTTGGCGCGCCTCAGCTGAGCTTTCCGAAAAGCATGTCTGTGCTAGGTTGGTCTCATTTTCATTTGGCGTGCCTCTTTCTCTTTGCCTGCCGTTCATCATTCCTCCATGCTGGCAGCTCCCTTTCTCATTTCCATTGAGCGCAGCGCCAAGTATCCTCTTTGATAGTGCACATGCCTAAGGTTCCCCCCGCTTGCAGCCCAGCGCTGGGGCCATTTAGCTTCTTGGTTCTGGCTCCCACACCCAGCTCTGGCCAGACTCACTTGGCACACCAGGTAGCAAGTCTCCCACCCACCAACCTCCCACTCTCCCTCAAATCCTCCATCCTTTCCTGGATCTTCAATATTCTTTCTATAGAGAATATTCTACTGTGATGACCCGTAGTGTCTCAAAAATAACACAAAAACTAAAACATGAATCAAGGTCTTGCAATGCCTTCAACTTAACTTCGCTTAGTCACAGTTTAAATTCCAAAAGTAGATAACGAAGCAAAAGAAAACAGAAAGGAGAGAGTCCATGGGAAGAACGCCAACAAAGATAAACCTCATTCAAACCTCATTCCTCAGAGTCAGTCTCCAGCAGGGGCATGACATCAACAAAAAATATATCCTTCCAATAATCGATTGGTACCCTGGCTATTCCGATGCTGCTTATGTCCAGTGGCTGCTGAAGGATGAACGGACCGTGATTACAATGCAGGTGGCAAGATTCTGCACAGCAGCACTGGGGATTCATGGGAAATGGGTGATTAATCCACCATAGCTATTTTATACAACTAAAGTAGCAAACCATTTTTCATTACTACTCTTTTGCATTTTAGTATTGAATGGTTGTGAGACTCACAGTTTAAGTATAGTTAGACAATATGTAACTGACACATTGGATGCCAAATTGAAATTTTAATATAGATTGTATCTGTCATTTATTATTCTATTCTAGAATGTTTAACTGGATATTCCTTGAGTATTTTTTATTTGTTCTGGTCTCTGCTCTTTGACTGTAATAAACGTGATTGGATTGGATTGGATTGGTTGCAATTCCATCTACCAAGAATTATATACCTAAAAAGACACATGATAGTGTTGACTGTTCCTCATGTCGTGACCACTTCCTTCAGATAAAAGAACAATAAATGTGTCTTAAATAAATGCACCATTGCAGGAAGGTTGCATTCTGAGAACTCACAATTTTCAATTTCTTAATTGTTCCACTTCTCCACAAATTTCTCCTGACTGAACCCGAGGTACAAGCCATCTGGTCCACACGATTTGTACTTCTCTTAGTAATTTCGTGCCTATTTGGAATTATATACCGATTCTATCTCCCTCAGTGTCGCTTTTCATATTTTTTCCCCCTTTTGCATCAAAAGGGATGCAAAGAAGGAATTAAGCATTACTGGGTTCACCCTGCTGCCTGTCTCCTTCTTCTCTTCTGCTTCCATTAGTGGACCTCTTGTTTCCTTGACTTCCTTCTTGTTCCCTACATTTCTTTTCTGATTTTGGGCATTAGTGGCCAGTCTTTGCCCATTCTGGGCCTTTGTTATCCCGATTCCCTCCTTGCAAATTCAGTCTCCTTGTTGGTATTCCGCTTTAGTTCTGTGCCCTCTTTCCATTTTTTCTACTTCACCTTTTTGTCCCTCCTCGTCAGAAGGCTCTTTGTGCAGACATGCTGGTATCACATGGTATCTTTAATTTTTTCGTGTTGTATCATTTTTGTTGGCTCCTTAATGGCTTCATTTTTCAGGGTTTCCCATCGTCTTGAGCTGTTTTTTTTCTTTTTTGGACATCCACTTCCTAGTCTCTGTTACCTTGTTGAAGTCAGCTCTCTCAAAGGCTAAACTATTAGGCTGCTTGGCAGTGCTTGGACTAGAAGACCTCCAAGGTCCCTTCCAACTTTCTTATACTGTTATTGTTGCTTGCTTAAGTTCCCTGTGCTGGATTAAGTGTGTTTGGGGGGGGGGGTCTTCCCCAAGGGTGAGAGCCAGAAAGGTTGAATGGGATACTTGCCAGTTTCTTTGGGCGGAAGAGTAGACTCTGAGGTTTCAGTTTATGCAGATAGCAGAGGATTATTATTTTTTAGCAACCAGAGGGCTTTTTTTTATTAAACTGGACACATTAGAGTACAGTACAGGTATCGAATTTAATTATCTGTTAAGTCACTTGAGTTTTTATTAACCAAAAATGTTTTTCAAAAAGTGGACCCATATAATAGAGAAGGGAAATAGAGTATAACCATATATTAAGATTTTTGAGTTCCTGGAAGTATTTTTAAGTAATAACCTTTGTAAAGCATTTGACATACATATTGCAAAAACAGAGTATAGGTATATATCAAAGCTTTTTCGGTTATTTGAGGTTTGTTTTTACTTAATCTTCTTTCAAAAGTGGGCACATAAACAGCAGGGAAGAAGGAGAGGACAGGTAGATGTTAGGCATGGCCTCCTCCTTCTCTTGCTTCCCGAGAGGCTCTGGAGCAGCAGGGGCATCTGCCTGCCCCCGAGACCCTCCACCCAGCCCTGTCCTCCCATTCTGCCACCCGCTCCCTCAGCCTTGCTGCCTCGGGGCTCTCTGCTCCCCCAAGGCCTCTCCTGGGGACCCCTGCACTTCCCTTCAGCTTCTGGCTGCTCTCTTCTCTTCGCCTCTCCTGCAGGCTGCTTGGACCCCGATTGCTCAGCCCATTCGGTTGCTCTGTTCCAGCTCCCAGATCCAACTCTGGCCAGACTCACCTGGCACACAAGGCGGCAAGTCCCCCACCCACCTCCCTCCCTCTCTCCCCCAATCCTGAATTGATTGTTGATTTTGACTGCTTTGGAGTTTTTTGATTGGAGGTATGCCTTCAGAATCAAATGGGAAGTCAGGATAGATTGAATGGAGATCTGTTTTCATGGATTATGTGTTTCTCAAACTGTGCCGCTTGAAGGCATCTGTGGATTTAAGTCCAGTTAGCAAAATGTCTGCTGAACTGAGAGAGGAAGTGATCGTGTCTCTCCATTTTTCAAACAGGTCAGCAAGAGTGAAGAAATGGTCCTATAGTGAACATCCTTGGGTATCTCTCAGAGACCCAGTCATGTTCCCCAATTCTATTTCTCTTTTCTGTATATTCAGGATGGGAAAGTTGCAGCTGAAACATGGGAGAATAAGTTTCGTGCAACAAAAGCAAAATTGTCTCATGTTTAGGCTGTAGTGGAAAGCAGGACAATTAATATTTACTGGAATTAAGAGGAGATTGCTCCAAGAAACCTAACTGAAACACAAGAATTAGCCAATCATTTCTTCTCAAATTCTATGGATATGTTTTGCTTAAAGATATTCTAATGTTTATCCCTCTTCCAAGAAACTTGAAATATTGGAC